GTAACAGTCTTTCTATCTTTCTACCAACTTTTTAGTCTTGTACATAGGACTGCTACCAATCTTCTACCCACACCCCGCTTGTTAGTCCTCATCAATCCCAGTCATTAGTCAGGGCTTTTAAAATATTGATAATTATTGCTGTGAAGAGAATTTTACTCATAGTTCCTGCCTATCTCCTTCTGAGAAGTCGTTTCTCCTGGGCTTTTTGGTGTAAGGACACACTATGTGGTTAGCTGGCAGGCCTTCTTGTGGACGCATTGCCCTTGGAGTCTGCTGGAGCTAAGGGACTCTCGCACTAAAACGTCAATCTGGTTTATTGGTTACCAAAGTGGAATGTGAAGGATGTGTAACTGGGGGTGCTGCTTTTCTCATTAAATGTATCCTCATCTGCATGAAGACCCCATGATTATTAATCAAGTATTGATCATGTAGAAAAATGCACAACACACTCCTGTATATTTTGCTATGGCCCACGTGCAGTGGTGATGTTTTGCGTGTATATTTAATCTCATGCTTCCATGTATTATACATTTAGTAATCGAAAGATTTGTGACCATGTTTCATTAAAAGCTTGTAATTAATTCAGTGGCTGGCATATCCAGTTTGTCATTGTCACACTAGTGTGCCTTCTGTGCCAATTTTATGACAGTTGGATGTCACTTATTTAAAATTTGGTTTAAATGGGCTAATGATATACCAATGGCTAATGTTCTTTTCTGAAACACTGTATAGGACGTGCACTTATCTTTAGTTAAAACTGAGTGTTCTAGTCAACATTTAATCCTGTTACGTTAAGTGTTGGACAGTACTTGCTCTTTTTCTCAGATTATTGATAAAGGGGCTCAGTTAGAGCTGGACACTACTGCTTTGGGGGTTTTCTGGTTTTTACTTTTTTAATGTAAGTCTAAGTCTTTGTAATTATTGAATTGTGAGAACATTTTTGAACAATTTACCTGTCAATAAAGCAGAAGAGGGAGGTTTTAAAGTTCATAGTTGTCTGTCTTGACATCTGGAAACAGTCCACCACTGACACGTGCTGTCATCTTGTGGTAACTTCACTTTGTCCATGAAAGCTTTATATAAACTGAAAAGTACTGTGAAGCTCCATACCTGAATGCTACAAGAACGGTGCATGTTTCTGCACATAGATGTATGCACTGGAGCAGTGCGAGGCCTTTTGGTGAATTACAGTGCTGAAATGTGCCCTCAGATTGTACTCAAGTAGCTATTTCATCAAAGCAGTGGCACAGTTCATTCATCTCAAATGATTCAGATCCTTATGGCCAAAGCATTCACACTGAGACTGCTGCCCAGAGAGCTGTGGGTGCCTCATCCCTGGAGGGGCTCAAGTGCAGGATGGATGGGGCCCTGGACAGCCTGAGCTGGTGGGTAGTGTCCCTGCATTGAGGGAACTGGATGGTCTCTGAGATCCCTTCCAATCCAAACCATTCTTTGCTTATGAGGAGGCTGCAGGATCTATTTGGACATCTTAAGTGAGGTAAAATAAGAAATACTGTACGTGTTTTCAAAGCAATAAGTGCTAAAGAAACACTGCAAACATCTGAAGGAGAGATGTGTGAATGGTGCCCCACACACAGCGCTGAGGGTGACAGGAGGATCGAGGTCTGTGTGCCGGCAGCCTTCCGACAAGCATTCAGGCTAATCAGCCTTTGACTTTTACAAAATGTTTCTCCAGCTCTCGAGTTGATTTTTCTCCTCACACTGAGGACTTAAGATGACAACAAAGTCTTTAATTATGGGGGTATTAAATCAGAGCACTCAGCAGTGCCAGGGCTCGGTTATAATTTAAGCAGGAGAACGTTTCTAGAAAAGTAAATGAATTGCTCAGTATGAATGCATTATTTATTTTTTCCTTCCCTTCAAATCTGGCTGAACAGAATCCCTCTCTGTGTCCCCACCACCGCACTTTTCAGATCTCTCCCCTTACAGCTCCTAATTCTGGTTACCTTAAGAGTTCTCCTGAGCCCTCAGGAGAACTTTGAGAAATGTGGAAATTCAAGACTGGAAGCAGAATGTTCTTCTGACCGTGCGCTTTCTTCTCCCTGGAGGCTGCCGGTCTAATATCACAAGTAAGGAATTCAGTTATGCAAAGAATGAGGATAATTTGGTCTCTGACACTTTCACAGAGGCATTACTCAGTCCCTGATGGAGGCACTGATGGACGTGCTACACAGGAATTTCATCAGGAAATTTTGGTCACTTCTAGCATAGAACTTTGACACAGAAGGCTGCATATTTTGGAATACCTTCTGGTGCCACTTGCTGCTCAGAGGTAAAAAAAGCTGCCAACACCTCTGTCTGCAGCACAGCTGTGCTGAGAGCAAGCAGCTTCTTCAGTGGGTACAGTCTGCTGTTGTATCTTAGTAAATGCTTGCTTTGTAGAACCATTTCAGTTGGAAGGGACTCTTAGAGGCCATCCAGTCCAGCCTCCTGCACTGATTAGGGACACCCACAGCTCCATCAGGTACTCAGAGCCCCATCCAGCCTGACCTTGGTTGTCTGCAGGGACGGGGTATCCAGCACCTCTCTGGGCAACCTGTGCCAGTGCCTCACTGCCCTTATTGTAAAATAAATAAATAAATAAATAAAATGTTTTTCTTCTATCACAGTGAAATCACAGGGACTTCAGTGTGGAACTGCTGAACAGCCAGCACAATGATTGCTTTTCACAAGGCCAGCTTGGGCATCCTTTGCATAAGAATGATATGAGCTGGCACTGGTAGCATACAGCACTGAGAAAAGGGAGCCTTGAAGGAAAGAGAGGGATGTGGGAACGGAACTGCACCCCCAGGAGAGCCAAGTGTCACATTGTGACCATGTGCCAGGGCTAAGCTGAGCCTATGTCCAACGAGAAAAGAAGAAAACGGAGAGAGTGGTGAGGTACTGGAACAGGCTGCCCAGGGAGGTTGTGGATGCCCCGTCCCTGGAGGTGTTCAAAGCCAGATTGGATGGGGCCCTGGGCAGTCTGGTCTAGCATTAGGTGGAATGGTGGTGGCCCTGCATGTGGCAGGGGGGTTGGAGATTCATGATCCTTGAGGTCCCTTCCAACCCTGGCAATTCTGTGATTCTGTGAAAACAGCTGTAGCCACGGCTGCTGGGCTACTGGAGCACCTCACGTTCCAGTGTGCTCTGTGCAAAGCAGCTTCAGTAGCAACAAGGAATGAGAAAGAATTCACCTGCTCAGGTCTGACCATCCATAGCATCGCCAGCAGGCTTTGTGATCTTCTTCCCATCTGCTCACACACCTACAAACAGTTCTGGGCTTGAATTCCACTCTCCGCACCCTCGTGCTCCTTGTCGCCTCCACCGAACGGCACGGACGGGCCGGGCAGATGGCTGCCATGCAGGAGCAGCCGTTTCCCAAGGGACGGAGAGCCGAAGGGCGATGTGAGCGCGGCCCTCAGCCGTATCGGCGCTGCGGGGCCCGGCGGAGCTCAGCCTGCCCACGGCAGCGGGGTGAGCCGAGGACAGCGCAGCACCGCGGGACGTGCTCCGCTATGAGCAGCTGCAGTGCTGCAGCCAGCCGCAGGAGGAACACGAACTCAGGAATAGGCCGTTCCCCGGCCTTGCAGTAAATATTTTTCCTGCTCCCCAATAAGATGCAGCACTTTTTCGTCACCTGACTGCACAGGGAATGCGGATTTATTGGTTGTTTTATCATAGATAAAGCCCCCAGATTCTTGCAGCACCGCCTGCTTCCAGCTTCTTACGCAGTGCTGCTCTGTATTCCCGGGAGGACGAGCAGCGCGATGGGCGCTGAGCTCTGAATGCTGATGAGAGGTGAGGGCCGCTGCCCTGCAGCAGCTTCGCCTGCTCCTTCCCTCCAGCAGCCCCACATCGCATCCCTCGGCTGCTACAAAAAGCCCTTTGTCGGCTCCGTGACGTTCTGAGCACTGCCGCATGCCTGAAGCTGGAGCTGCACCAGCTGGGTGCCCCGCACCACCCTAAGGGTGGGCACAACCCGGCGAGTTGGTGCATTGGCATTAATGCACTCTGCAGTAGCCTGTCTCATTGGGACCCCGACCCTCAGCACCGAGAGCACAACAAAGCCCCTGGCAGCCCAAGCCACGGCCCAGACTGTCACACTGTCTGTGCACAAAAACACCTTGTTTACATGAGCTCTCAGCAAAGACCGCGCATCCCAAAGCCCCGCTGTTACCCTGCTGGAGGGCAGTGTGTTGTCCCCAGCACCCCCCAGTGCTGTTGCTCTGTTGTGTGCAGAGCCCTGCTCCTCGCACTGCTCTGCGTGAGCGAGCAAATGGCTCCTGAAGGAAAAGTACAGAGCGTGCCCAGCGAGCGCACTGACAAAAATTGATCTGGGCTTTAATTAAAGCCTCTGTTGTAAGTGACCTCGAGTTGCTAATGCATTTTAAGAATGGAGCCCGGCAAGCAGCAGAGCCAAGCGCAGAGGGGTTTAGGGGCTGTGCTGAGTACAGAGCAGCAGGGACCGCCCTGCACCCTGGCAGCCTACGGGCCACTAGGAGATGGCTGCAGTGTGCTCCCGTGCCTGCACCCACAGCAGGGCTCTGGTGCTCCTCATGCTGCCTCCAGAGCCCTGTGAGAAGGATTATGTCTTTCAGAGACTTGAACAAAACACAATACACCTAAAATAGCTACTTCCTTATGGAAATGCCAACGAGCCCTACTGAAAACTCAGCAGAGTGTAAATCTGCATAAATTTGCATATATTTCCGTACCTTCAGGCTCACCCATTAGACTTGATGTGTAAAGAGCTGGTGGCTGACCCTGTGGGCACCGGAAGGTGTGTGGCCACCCTGTGCCACCACTGTCCCAACCCATGCTAGCAGAGTGCCTTGTCCCCTCCATGCCTTGGCCATTGCTACAAGGCCAGGGCCAGACCCACACCTCACTGCTGCTTTACAGAGAGCAGCACCACCAAAACTCACATTATGGGAACAGAAGTGGCACCAGGAGGCTGTGGCTGAGCCCTGTGGATGAAGCTTTGTGATTTCCTTCACCAACGTTTTTATTCAGGTGGGCACGGCTTGCCCATGGTCTGGACCCTACCAGGAGCCACGTGGCGGTGTCCCTGGGAAGGCTGTGGCTGTGCCATCAGGTCTCGGTCTCGCTGGGGTCATAGAGGGGGTTGAGGTAGAACACCTGGTGGCCCTCGGGAGCCAACTCCTGCAGCGTCTTCTCCACAATGCCAGCACCCGGCAGCTCCTGCAGCAGCGAGGAAAGAGAAGCACTGGGTAGGGAAAGGAAGAAAACCCCCACTGAGCACCCCCACGCCCCCAGCAGGACCACTCACCACATCGAACATGGGGTTGTCAAAGCCTTTCCCACTTTCTGGCTCGGGGCTGTTCAGGTCCTCTGCTCTGTTCCAGAGCCGGGGGAGATGCAGTGCCTGCAGCCTGGAGACAGATGTGGCATCACTCCTTCAAACCCCAGCCCTGCCACTGCCCTCCCTGCAGCCCCCACAGAAATGCCACCACTTCAGTGGGCCTGTAGGAAGCACACGGACAAACAGTTCAGGCTGTCTTTGCAATGGGGTGTTTGCACGTTGAGCAGCATTGCAACGTGAGCGCAGCTCCGGGGCTGCATCCTGCAGGGAGCGCTGGTCAGCCCGCAGATAGCCCTGCTGCGCTCTGCCTCAGAGCCATCGCGCTCCCTTCTGAGCTGACATGAATTGCCACCTGCTCCCACTGCAATCTTAACAAACACTAATTAGTTTTTATCATTACCTTTATCAAGTTATCATTTTATCATCTTAATCACCGTCATTGCTTTATGAGTTTCTGCACTACTCTTACCCTAAGGCTCCCCATCCCAAGCAGCAGCCAAGGGGGGCTGAGCAGTGGGTCCTCACTCGCAGCATCCCACTGAGCATTGCCAGCCGAGGGAGGAACACCCAGGAACTCCCTCCCCAAAATCTGGCCAACAAATGTCCCACGGGCTGGAGCTGCCTGGGACACACGGCAGGGGCAGGGCGGCTGGGGACACGGGCTCAGTCCACTTCTGGGAGCTGCACAACCTCCCTTCCCACTGCTGACAGAGCGGGTTTCAAAGGCCTGTCCAGCATCCAACAAGTGTCAGTGGAATATAAATCATCAGGTGGCAATTACGGGGCTGGGAGGTTTTTTTTTAGATATTAAATGAAGGCACTGGTTTATTGCCGGGAAGTATTACACCAGCACCTGCCAAGTGGCAGGGGAAGCATCCCTGCTCACAGCCAGCAGCGGCCCTGTGGCCCCCAGCAGGTACCAGCACACCTCTCCCATAGTGACAGCGATGCCCTCGATGCTACAAAGTGCTCAGGGTCGGCTCCTCCTGCCCACGCTCAGAGAGTTGGGATGAATGCATTGGGGAAGAGCTGCTTCCTGAGCTGCTGTCCCCTTTCACGTCTACAGAACTGCTTTGCATGGCTTTGATGCGTTGCTATTTAGAAGCTGGCAGCTGCAGCTCTCTGTTCCCATCAGGCTGCCAGCTGAAGGATGCAAGGAATGGGAGATCTCCATGGGCAGCCATGGCAGGCTGTGCCCAGCAGCGCAACGCAGTGCCAAGCAATCTGCTGAGGATACCAACTCCAGGCCTCCCACCTGCCCTTGTTGGACCCTTGGTGGGAGCTAGCAGAGCATGGCACAGTCATGGTCTGCCTCTGGGTTACCAATGCAGAATCATAGAATCATTAAGGTCAGAAAAGACCTCTAAGATCACTACGTCCAACAATCAACCCATCACCACAATGGCAACTAAGCCACTCCCTCACTGCTGTATCTCCACAATTCCTGAACACCTCCAGGGATGATGATTCCCCCCACCTCTCTGGGCAGCCTGTGCCAATGCACTGCCACTCCCTCTGAGAAGACATTTTTCCTAATATCCAACATAAGCCACATGCTGCTGCAAAAGCCCTGTCCATACCTCAGCTTTCCCTTCCTGTGCACGTAGAGGAGCCCTCCAAGCACCAGCAGAGTGAAGAGCAGCCCCAGGACAGTCCCCAGTGCGATCTGCCTGGAGGCATGGATTGCCATCTGCCCGCCGAGAGTGCTGCCAGTGGCCACCTCCACACTGCCAGCTGGAATGCCCAAAGCTTCACCTATGGGGGGCAGGAAGGAATGAGGTGAGAGCTGGAGCATATAAAGCTACATGATCACCACCCTGTGATGCACCACCCTGAGATGCAGAGATGTGGAGTCCACATCCTTGAAGAGATTCAGAACTCACTTGGGCCAGGCACTGAGCAACAAGAGGGCTGGGCAGGGGTCCCTGCCAACCCTGATACCCCTGCTCCTGCAGTGCTGCTCCACTCACACCACTACGATTAAAACTGTGAAATTCTGGGCTAAGCAAAGCTCTCTAATGAAGTCATTAGAAAAGCAGAGCATATGTGTGTTAGGAAGGCACAGAGCTGTGCTAGACCATACGGAGGGGACACGGACCTCAGGCAGAGCACCAAAGCTCTCTGCAGCATGTGCCATTTGCAGGCAATCAGGAGCTCCAGCTGTGCCACTATTACAGCCCACAGCTCCCAGCACCACTCTGCTGGCACAGCAAGGATGGGGCAGTGGGAGGGGGTAAGAGGGTCTGGGTGCTCCCAGAGCTGTGACACCAAGAATGGCAGAGTTTGCAGAATCATAGAATCATTAATGTTGGAAAAGACCTCGAAGATCACCCGGTCCAACCCCAACCCACCCCACCATGCCCACTGCCCACGTCCCTCAGTGCCATATCTTGAACACCTCCAGGGACAGCGACTCCCCCACCTCCCTGGGCAGCCTGTGCCACTGCACTGCCACTCCTTCTGCAAAGTTTTTCCTAATATCCAACCTGAATTTCCTTTGATGCAACTGAAGGCCATTACCATGCTGTGCGATGTCACCCATGATGTCTGCAGCCAGCTGCTCTGCAGCACTGCCTGTCTGCACCCCAGCCTCACCATCGACCAGCACAATCTGGATGACAGGCGTGGAGCCCCGCGGGAGGAGTCCCAGGAAGGTCTGAGCCTTGTGCACCTTGGAGATGGCCATCTGAACACCAGCATACTTGGGCTTTCCAGAACACAGCAGACACACACAGTGAGAGCAGTAGATAGAAATGAGTCTTCTCTATAGACAGCTATGATGGATGTTCTGTGAGGGTCATCTATAAATCTTCACAGCAGCCCCACCGCAGAGCTGCCACCTCTGCTGCTGTGTTCCTCCTCCAGACAACTCAGAGCTGAGAACCCCCCCATGCTTTCTAGGCTGCTGTTTCCAGCAAGCCTCCCTTGGGCTCAGCAGCCAGCTAGTTTTCACCAAAATTGAGCAGAGTGGGTGTTGTGGGGAGCAAGGGAGGTTGCAGCAGCCCCCAGGGCGAGACAGCACATCCAAGAAGCCAAACCTGATAGGGGAAGGCTCCAGATGGTGGGGAGCTGGGGAGCACCCTGCATCCCTGGGACGTACCAGGCTGAGCCACGCTTGCACCACTCTGTCCCGGTATTGCTGCAGGTCAAATTCGGGCTTAAAATCCAGAGTGACAACAGCTCCTGCAGTTCAAAAGCAGGCAGATAGACAGTCAGAGCCCAGAAAGGGCAGGGCACTGTGATGGTAACATGACTTTGGTTGCCCCAAAAGGCATCTGGGAACCCCCAGTATCTCCATATTGCTGGGTCACACTGGGCTCCAGGAGGGGTTTCTCTAGGCAATGGGGCCTGAAGAAACCTCACCTCTCTTGCTTCCCTTCCCGTCAGTGGGTTTGGGCTTTTGTTTCCCATGATATTCCAGCAGGAAGCCCCCTCCCCCATGTTTCCACAGGAAGCTCTGCATTGAGCTACATCTCAAGGCTGCGGCTCAGCAGTGCTGCGTGGCTTTGGCTGTGAGGCACAGAGGAGGGGACACGTGTTCCCTGTGTCACTGCACTGCATTCGGTGATTCAAACACTTCCTCTGAAAAAACACCGGCAAACACTTGCTGAAACATGAAATTCTCCTAATGGCTTTTAAAAGCTCTGCTTTTCAGAGGAACATATGGTGCATTTTTAAAGAATTTGGTACTACGTACCAAGTAACTCGGTACGGCCGTGTATGAAAAAATCCCCCTTAACAACCTGCCAGGTAGACAAATGGACGAGCGCCCATTGCTGAGGGAACGCTCTCACTGCGTGTTTTTTATTTTCAAAGAAATGACACAAACTCAGTGGGCCCCACTCACCGCAGACCCCACAGCAGTGGCCGAGGGGCCGCAGAGGGCTGTGGCACGCCAGCGCTGGGCACCTCTCCGCCCTGAGCAGTGATGCACAGATGCGGTCTCCATCCTAAAGAAGAGCACGGCGGGGTCAGTCCCTCCCTTTCCCCACTTTCTTTAGGTGGGAAGAAATTGCCCCTAAAGTGCCTCACCTGGGAGTTCCCGCAGGCGCAGCCGGAGCTGTGGGGACAGCGGGTGCCCGTCACCTGCAGGGTGGCATTGCCGTGGAACTGCCATGCGGCAGAGGGGCTCCTCAGGTACTCGGCCCACGCCTCAGCGCTGCTCAGCTCCTGCAGGGAGAAGAGCGAGAGGCTGCCGCGCAACTCCAGATCTGCATCCAGGCCAGAGGACTCAGACTATCAGGCTTTTTCATGTCCCCTCACGCCTGGCCCCAAAATGGCAGATCCTGGGCAGTGCGGCAGAGGAAATAACAGATTACTGATGAGATGTCTTCCACATCTCCCGCTTCTGAAGGCAGCGCTTGTCTCCACTGCAGAGGCTGTGATCTTCAGCTCTGCCGACTGAGAGGGATGGGGATTGTCATCTGCCTGGGCTGCGGCACAGCAGGCTGCCAGAGGTTCTATAATTATCCCTCTGATCAATTATACACTGATACGGAATCAAAGCTGGGAGACAACTGTGAGCCCACAGGGCACGCTCAGGACGGGGCAGGAGGGCAGCCCCTTGGTGGCACAGAGGACGCCAGTAGCGAAATAACCCCAAACCCATCAGGGTGCAACGCTGCAGCTCCATAGCAGGAGGTGCCAAAATGGTTTTCCGCCAGCTCCCCATTACCTGGCCCATGAGTGAGATGCTCTGAACAGGGATCTCCTGCCGCGATGAGTCGAGGTTTACTCTGAAGGAGGTTTCAGGCTGGAAGATGACGCGGTCGTACTGGCATGGGACACGTTCCTCGTCCAGGAGGAAGATGCGGCCGGCCGGCACTCTGGAGGACACATCCTGCCACAGCTCGGGGTTGAACCACGAGTGCTGCTCAGCATTGGCAAAGCTCAGCACCGCACCTGAGAGGAGTGAAAGGAGCTGACTCCAGCCTGCAGCCACTGCTTGGGTAAAGCTGGTGCAAAACTCCAGCCCCAGGACCCAAGAGATCATTATTCCTCTTCTTTAAAGCTCAACCTTATGGTTAGGGAGGAAAACAGCCACAAAGCATAAAATACAGTTAAACTGGGTAAAATCAGGTATGATAATTCACATTGCAAATTTGCAGACCAGCAGAAACATGCTCAGCCCTGTACCCATTAGCAGATAACCCAAAAACCAGAGCACCATCCTACCACTGGCCATTTCCCTGGTGGTCACACTGTGTCCTCCTTTGCTCACCTTTCCCCACAGCTTCCTAGATCACACAGCACATGAGATTATCTGCACTCATTCTAAAACTGTGCTTTCAGGAATTCTTTTGGGAAGGCTGCCCAGAAATGCCTGTTGTTCCATGAGAGCATCACATGGCCAGGTCAAAGCCTTGTGTGCTTGCAGCCCAGAAAGCCAATGGTATCCTGGGCTGCATCGAGAGGGTGGTGGCAGCAGGGCAAGGAAAAGGATTGTCCCCATTTGCTCTGCCCTCATGAAGCCCTATCTGGAGTCAGGCATCCAGTCCTGGGGACTGGAGCTGCTAGAGTGGGTCCAGAGGAGGCTGTGAGCACGAGCAGAGGGTTGGAGCACCTCTCCTCTGGAGGCAGGTTGAGAGAGCTGGACTTGTCCATCCTGGAGGCTCCAAGGAGACTTCACTGTGGCTTTCCAGTACCTAAAGAGGTCTACAGGAAATCTGGAGTGGTACCAAGTACCAGGTATCAGGTACTGTAGCGATTAGACAAGAAAACTTTAAACAGAAAAGGAGTAGGTTTAGATAAGGAAGAAATTCTTCACGCTGAAGATGGTGAGGCCCTGGCTGCCCAGAGAGCTGATGGTGCCCCATCCCTGGAGATGCCCAAGGCCGGGTGGGGTGGGCAGCCTGAGCTGGTGGGGGCAGCCAGTCCACGGCAGGGGTGGGGCTGGATGAGATTTAAGGTTCTTTCCAACCCACAACATTCTATGATTCTGATACATCTCCCCAGCAAACAGCTTTCAGGTAAATAAGCAGCGCTGACAAAAAACAGCTGCTGCCTGGCTCATTGGGAATCTCGATGAGAAACTGACAGGAGGCTGAGGGCTGTGCCAGCACCCAAACATCGGTGTGCAGACACCTGTGGAGCTGAAGGGCAGCTCCAAAACGCCACGGTTCAGCACTCGGGGGCCCAGCTGTGTAATCCGTAACCGGTTTTCTTTAGCAATACCGTGGCAAAGCAAATGAGGGCTTTGATGTGGCTGCATGCTTAACAGGCAGGGTAAAATAAAACAATATTTACCTCTCTGCTACAGCTTCAAAGCCTCCCTGGCTATAATTACTTTTTTAAAAGACAGGTGATCTAGCAGAAGAAGAAAGATGCGATGTGAGCGAAGCCATCAAAGAGAAGGCAGGGATTGAAGAGGGGTGAGTCACCCTGCACTGAGGTGGGACAGCAAAGGCCTTTGTAGCAGTGCTGGTGGCAGATTTGTGAGTTAATGGTGGCTGTCAGCCCGGCACGCCATACCTGAGCCACATCCCGGGTCCCAGCTGCCATCGAAAGCTGCAAACCCAGAGCCAGATGCCAGCAGAAATTCTCCGTTCAGGGGAAGGTACTAAAGGGAGAGAGGGATGCAGAGTGTTACTGTGCAGCCCTGCTGCCAGCCACCCAGGCTTGTCATCAAATAACGGTGCTAATTATTAGATTGCCAATTGCACTCACCATCTCCAAGGCACTTTACAGTCATTAGGAGTCACCCTCCCTGTGCCCTGTGTAATGGAAAGGTATTGTCTCCGTGTTCTACAGATGGGGATGCTGCAGGGTTGCACTTTATTTTATAGCAACACAGAAAGCCATGAAGCGTTCAGGGAAACGAGCAGGAAAAAGCAACTTAAGCTCTTTCCACAGTTCCCTCCTCCTCCTGCTTACACAAGCTCCTAACAACTCTGAAACAGTTTCATACATTTGGATGCCATGCAAAACCTAATTCCTTTATGCCTAGAGGTGTCTCTGCTGTTGGGGAGTAATGGTTTCCAGTGGGTTCTGCTGGGCACTGGGCTGACTAATGGATGGGGGCTTGCAATGGCTCTCTGTGGGCATCACTTGCCATTGCTCAGACAACACAGCCAACTTGGTTGCACCATGCTCACCTGGTGTGAGGGGTCTGCAGGACAAACACTGCCCCAGCGCCAGGTTGGGGAGGATTTGTAGCCACCAGCTGGCAAAGCTGCTCCAGGCCAGGCTGCAGCAAGTGACTGAGTCAGGGACTCATTCATAGCACACAGCTTATTCAGCCCAGCTCATTTTCCGTTTAGAGACTGCCAAAGAAAAAGATTGGGTTTTCCCCCAATATTTTCATGTGTCAAGGAGTGAGTGATGCTCAAGGCTCTGCTCTCCTCTCACCCATTCCAGCAGTGTAACATCACAGAATCATTAAGGCTAGAAAAGACTCCTAAGACCACCCAGTCCAACCCTAACCCACCCCCACCATGCCCACTGACCGTGTCCCTCAGTGCTACATCTCTGCAGTACTTGAGCACCTCCAGGGATGGTGACTCCACCACCTCCCTGCCCGCAGCTGGCAGCCCTCCAGGCTGAGCTGTGCCCACACACCATGGCCTGTGCTCACACAGAAACGTGTTAGATGGGATTCTGAGGTTACATTGACTTAATTGGTCTTTAAATATGCATGTAGGTTAGAAAAAGCGAGGCTTATGACTGAGTGCTGCATGTGGCTGTGATAGCTCTGTTCCTGAGGTGGTTTTGCCTGAGGGTGCTCAGTCCCACACTGATCACCTTGGTGGTGATATCAGATTCACCAATATCATACGTTGCTCTACTCTGGACACAAAAGAAAAAGGAGTGAAGAGGTAAATTATTAAGGTCTGGCTATCTTCTACCCCAAGGTACGTCATCCCCCCACCAGCCAGAAACATATGCTTGCCTATGGATGCTGCCTCATGAGCCCATAGCACAAACAGTGCCTCACTGGAAACCATGCCATCATATTCTCCAAACCTCTATTACTCTTGGGTAATTTTTCCAGCACTGAAGCACTGAGAGAGGCTGAAAGACCTGCCAGGAAAATAAATGTGCCCTTTGTCTGACGATGAAAAAGTCACGTCTAGTGACATTTTGAGGCTCAGGACTCAGCTTGCTTGTAGCTGGCCAAGCTCTATGCTAGCAGCTTCCTTTAGCAAGCAATGTACCCTGCCCTGGTTAGTTTTCCTCTGAGCCCACACAGGAGTAGGTGGGGGTACATGCTGGGGAAGGACAAGTCCCTTCTCCCTGAGCCACTGATGGCTGGAGCAGTGCCAGTCTTTCACCACCACCTCCATGTGGGTGAGCCCTGCCTGATGGACCTTGCTTTCCCCAGTAGAGTTACCTCTACTAGTCGTCCTACTCTACCCCAGTAGAGTAGGAGCTTTGGCTACAGCTATGTGTTGGAGCATCTCAAACACCCTCAAGGGGCCATGCAGGATGCAATGAGCTTTCCTGTCCAGGAAGCTATTCATTTAGAGCTTCACAATTCAACAAGGAGGAGGAAAAAACTTCAAAGGCCATCCTTAGACAAGTACGTACATATACTTGTGAGCTGCATCACTCTCGCTGCTCCCAGGAGCAATGCAAGAACGTTCTGTGCATGCATTATGCCCAGAGCAAAGAAAGACAGCCCAGTAAGAGTCTACTCTGGCTCTTGGCTTGGATGTGGAGAGAGCAGGGAGGAGGTGGGACCTCTCTGGAGAAGATGCAGTGACTGCTCCACCTCAAAGGCCACAGCCCCGGGAGAAGCTGTCCATATGTCCCATGAGGACATGACCACGGTGTCCCAGCCTCTGACTCACCTGAACAATGCACTGTGAGATGGGCTGTGGAGTCACCTCATCTGCAGGAAAACAAAAATCAAGAGAGAACTCCACACTTCTGCTTTGCAGCAGGAGTTTCTGAGGTTGGCCCCAGCATCAGGAGCTGATGCCACACTCCCACCACCAGTGGCCTTACTGGGAGGCAGTGGGGACCCACTCAGTGGTTTGCAATGAGCTGGGCAAGATCCCCTGAGGTGCACGCACTGCTGTCCAAAGCATCTTAGTTTGTAAAAGGTTTGCACATTCTCTCTCCTTAAAAGAGCAAAGGGTTAAGCATGTGGGATCACTGCAGAGCACCAACAGAGTCTCTGGTTGGGCAGCAGCTTTCTGCATTCGGGAGTTTTGTATAGGAATTACATATAGGCTGGGCCCCTTTCCAAGTACATTTTGAACTGAGCAGTTGACATGTACCAAAGGAGCAGAGCCAAAAGCTGGCAGTTTCGTCTGCTTTCCTTGGCTCCTGCCAACCTCTACTCCACTGCCATTAATACAGCAGGCTCAGAGTCTCGCTAATCATTTCCCATCCCTGACACTGGTAGATGACTTATCTCCTTGGTCTTCATTACCAAATGTAATGACAACTGAAACACAGTCATAATTTTTCTCATCCAAGTCAGCAAAAAAAAAAAAAAAAAAAAGAAAGGCACCCTCCCCCGTTCTCAGCCAACACGTGCAATCCCAGCATCGTGCTGCTGTCCTGTTACCTCAACCCATAAGTGAAAATTAAACTGCTGAAAAGCAAAATGAAACTGCTGAAATGCAAAACAGAGGGAGAGGAAGATGAGGCAAAAGCTACCTCTGCTTTTCTTCTCTGCAGAACTACCTGTATATTTCTTCTCATCGAACAGCAAAGACCTGAGCAGGTGGCTTTTAACCACCCTCTGGCACACCCCAGCTTTGCTCCAGTAATCACAGAATCACAGACTGGCCAGGGTTGGAAGGGACCTCAAGGATCATGAAGCTCCAACTCCCCTGCCACAGGCAGGGCCACCAACCTCCTCATTTAATGCTAGACCAGGCTGCCCAGGGCCCCATCCAATCTGGCCTTGAACACCTCCAGGGACGGGGCATCCACAACCTCTCTGGGCAGCCTGTTCCAGCACCTCACCACTCTCTCTGTAAAGAATGTCCCCCTGATGTCCAACCTAAATCTCCCCTCCCTCAACTTAAAACCATTTCCCCTTGTCCTGCAATTATCTACCCTTTCAAAGAGTTGATTCCCCTTTGTTTGTAGGCTCCCTTTACGTACTGAAAGGTTGCAGCCTTCTTTTCTCCAGGCTGAACAAGCACAGCTCCCTCAGCCTGTCTTCACAGGGGAGGTGCTCCAATCCCCTGATCATCTTTGTGGCCCTCCACAAAGGGCACACTGCTGGCTCATGTTAAGTTTTTCATCTATCAAGACCCCCAAGTCCTTCTCCATAGGGCTGCTCTCAAGGACCGCTCCTTCCAGTCTGTAGGGATGCCTGGGATTCCTCCAGCCCAAGTGCAAAACTCTGCACTTTGCCGTGTTGAACTTCATCAGGTTCATCTGGGCCCACCTTTCTAGCCTTTCGAGGTCCCTCTGAATGGCATCCCTTCCTATGCCACCTCACACAGAATGTGTGCAATCACCCACCAAAGGCATCAGCACTGGAGAAAGTGGATTTCTGCATCACCTCTTAAATTCCTGCTTTGCTGGGTCATCTGCAGCCTGAAGATGGCAGGTAGACAGGCAGAAGGCAGGCAGGGCAGTTTTAGTTCCTTAGGAGCTCTTTTTGCCTGCTCTCCTGCCCGGATGAAGCTCACACTTGCATTCTCAGCTCCCTTCCCAGCCCAATGCTGCTGGGCCCAGCCTCATCCTGTTGTTCTCTTGTATTGCCTCACTCCTGGGCCTGGAGATCGCAGCATCACAGCATGGCTAGAAAGGAGTAGCTCATCCCTCTGTGTTCACCCCCAGCAGCAGGCAGGGCACAGAAGAGCAGTGTGCCAGCAGGACGTCATCACTGTGGCATCAACTCCTGCAAGCTAATGAGGGCTTGGCTGCTCTCCTTGCCCGCGTCCCCGCCTGCCCCCTGCAAGGCAGGGCCATGTGGCAGCGGTGCAGCTGTGCTCTCATTAATGCAGGATCAGGTTCCCCTGCTGCGTCTGCTCATCACTCGGTCCCTTGTTTTTTGGTGAAGCAGTCCCTGTGTCCACTGCCTGCACACGTGTGGCTGGGCTGGGCAGAGGGACGAGGGGACATCGGGAGAACCTGCATCGCACTGCCCAAAAAATGAGTGCAAGGACAGAGCACCCACAGCAACCGGGTGCATGTAGCATTGGCACCTGTGGGAGTGTGCGTCAGGACGAGGCACTTGAGCTACGGCTGCAGACTGCAAACAGAGGCTTAGAGCTGTTGACACATCTACTCTGGATTAGTTCCGCTCATTTTTCTCAACTCCTCTCCTTGGTCAAGGGCAGAGAGTGCAGGAGAGCGGCTGGAGGTGCAACACAGAGGCCAGAGCTGCCCCAGCAGCCACCTGGCACCAGCCCCCGGTGTTGTGGCACCCAGCCCCCCAAGACACAACGCTCTGCTCACCTCAGGCTCTGTAGGTTCCTCCTATCGCTAGCAACAAATGCTCTCAGGAAGGTATAGGCACGGACTGCTGCAAAAGGCTGCTCCATCACACCTCGTCCTCAGGCAGACCTTCAGCGGCAGCACTGCTGGAGAACAGCCTGCAGGGTTCCGGCTTGTAATGATGTGCTGCCACGCACGCACTGCCATGACATTTTTTACCTTCATTTCAGGAAAAGGGAAAACATTTCCTTCTCTGGGGCTCCTGAACCTGCATTCCTGCGATTTCGGAAGCAGGGGAGGGGAGCGTGGTGCCTGGGATGAGCACAAACCATTGCGATTCATTAGAGCCAGCGCCCCCGGAGAGCAATTGGCATTTCAAGATCAATCTCTGCCAGGAACCAAGCAGGAGCATCCTGCAGCAAAGCCGAGTACATTCTGCTCTCACAATTAGGCAGCTAAAAATATAAAGCTGGAAACTGAGGTCCTGGTCTGACCCTGGTGCCCCATTAACTCCTATCCCTGTCTGGGCAGCAGGGACAGGGTTGGGGCAGTTGCACCTCGGAGGTGCTGGGGTGGGTGCTGGAGGCTGAAAGCACAGAGATGCCCAGCACATGGGTGTTCTTCCCCTGAGCTGGAGAGAAGCAGCAAGCAGAAGGCGATGCTCTCACTGTGCCCTGACCCCTGGACCGTGCGAACTAAATGAGGCTGCTCTGCCCACATGGTTGGCTAAACCCAACTCCTGCACCCCAAAAGTAGAAAGCGACATCATCCCTGCTCCCAAGGGCAACCTCTGGCCAGCACTGAGCCAGGACTTGTGTGAGACACGCATCATGTAGTGCAGCTGGGCTGGACAGCAGAACCCAGAGTGCGGAACAGAACTGCCCTGCGGCCACCAGCGGCACTGGGCTCCTTGCTGGGTCATGGGCTTCCAGTGACATGCTGGTCCTCTAAGCATCACTGCACTGAGCACCTCTTTTTCTTTTTTCTTTTGGTGGATTTACCTTCGGGCTTCTCTGGAAGCTGCTAAATATTTATCTGCAATTTTAGGCAGCTAAAGACCATGGAAAATCCTGCCTAATAGTGATGGTTATGCTTCAAAGTCACTTACATTTAAGCTGGATTTGGATTTAGCATGCAGTTGAATTAGGGACAAGTGTCAAATGGGACAACAAAGAGCCTTCCCCTAAAGCTGAGGGAAGTGGGCTTTGTGTCTCCGCAGCCCCTGATCCTGACAGCTGCTTCCAGGGAGCGATGCAGGGCATCACCAGGGCTGGAGGCAGCTCTTGTGGGGCTCAGCTCCACCGAGGAGCTGTGCAAGGGGCAACAGTGGGCACGGGGTGCACAGCAAAGCAGTACAGGAGCCCTCCCACCACTCTTCTACCTGCCACGCACCAGATCCCTGCATCCCCTGCACAGACAGCACCATCCTCATGAAAGTCAGTGAAAGCCAAGCCCCTTCCCCAGCCATGAATTTCCTCCTGCGATACCACAGCAAGCATCGAGCTGCTTCTTTTTTTTTTTTTTTTTGTCCAAAGGCTGTATAGCATCTCCATGGCGACTCCAAAGCTTAATGTATTCCTGCTGATTTAAGTGATTAATTCTCCAGCGCGGCAAGGCCAGCATCCGAACAGGTGCAGCCCTGCCTTGCTGCAAAAAGCCTCCAAACCTATTTGATTCCTAACAACCCCACTGCTGAATTTCATACCATCTCAAGTGGCAGAACAGCTCAGCTGCTTGATTTCAATTTTGTAAAATCCTTCATCTTGGCAGTCTCCTTATCACCTGGTGACCACAGAGTATGGCAGCATGTGGGAGAGAGAGAGGTGGTGGAGGTGAAATTAAAAAAAAATCATTAGAACGCCTGGAAAATTGATGGGACAGCTCCTTGCCAATGGTGATGCTCCAAAGAGGAGAGAGCTACAAGCTGGGCAATCTTAGAATCAGAGAATCATGAAGGTTGGAAAAGACCTCTAAAATCACCCAATCCAATCCCAACCCATCCCACCATGCTTACTAACCACATCCCTCAGCGCCACATCTCCACGATTCTGGAACACCTCCAGGGACAGCGACTCCCCCACCACTTGCAGTTTAGATGCTCAGCAGCAGTGCTTGCAAAGAAGTGCTGCTGAATGAGCAGCACAGAACGGCAGCCTGACCGGTGACAGGGAGGAGTTTGGTGTCGCTCAGCTGCCCTGAACTGACCCATCACTGCTAGGAAACCTGCCCTGAGCACCCAGCTGAGGCCTCCAGCTCTGCTCCCACAGGTGCCACCGTTGGTGTGACGCTGCTCCGCCTCTGCTCCCAGCACATGGCCAGCCTTGGGGCTTTCTAATTTCGGCTCTTTAGCTTGTTTTTGAAAGGCTAATGATGTAATGAATAATGCTGCTTTGCAATTATGCACTTTGCAGTCCTCTGATGAAAGTACTTTAGAAATATTATACATTCATCTGTAAGTAAAATAAAATCTACTGGAGTGATATTTTGCTCTTTTCTTCTCTGGGTAAATTCCACATCATTTATTACATTACATTCACACGCGTTTCCCAAGTACATTCTTTCCTTCCAAAATTCATATTTTAAATGCCTTATAAATAAAGTAACTCCTCCAAATATTTGTAGCAGTATTAAATGTGGTGCAGGGCGTTATTAAAGCATCAAAACCATTAGTGGGGAAGACAGCCTGAACAAATTACAGCACGTAAATTTCAAGGGCTTGTTTGCATTTAATGGCTGATAAAAGAGCAAAACCTGATTTTCTGCTGAGTCTAAAAATGAGAGAGAGAAAACTCTGCTGTGGTCCCATCCTGCTGGATGGGACACTGCTGGGTGTTGGCACAGTGCAACCAAGACCTCCACCACCACGTGCATCACAGCACAGCCCTGTGCCTGTCTCACCGCCTCCGGGTTAATAATTCACAAGAAAAATCAGAAAAACAATGGCATTTGAAAGGAATTTTCTTGAGCAACGTTTTGGGATTTCCCACAATGGTTTGTTTTCATTTCAAAATGTTTTTCTGCCAGCTTCACTTAGCCTCAGCCCAGGGCTAGTGCTTGCTCCACACCAGCTGTGCCATGAGCAAGCTGCTGCAGAGAGCTCTGTGACAGGGCTCTTTCCTTACATCCCAGGGGAAAAGATAATTTCTTTCAAGAGAAAGTGTTTTATTTTTTTTTGGGGGGGGGGCATTTCCTCCCTGCTTGCCAAAATGAAAACAGAATCTTGCAACTGATCATTTTACTCCTGGCTGATTTCTGTGCAGTGCCAACCAGCACGGACTGCTCTTGCTGCTGCTGGAGGTGTTCAAGGGGATGTAGGGCTAATACTTAGGGACAGTGCTTACTTGGCAGTACTGGTATACACAGGCTGCTGGATTAGATGAACTTGCAGGTCTTTTCCAACCTTAATGATTTTCTGATTCCTTTGTGGTCAGCCAGGATCATGGCACATAAGGACTGTGAACTCACAAGTGCTGCACACCACAGCCTCCCCCACCCCCACCCACCAGCTGTGCATTGCTCACCATGTCCGTCAGCGCGTGGGTAGACCTGACAAACACTGAGACCACCTGGAAGGAAAGCAAAAATAGAAAGTCTCAGCATGCTTTCCATGGGCAGGTAAACGTTCCTTCCGCATGCCTGATGTTATCAGAAAGAAAAAAAAAAAGCATTCCGATACCTCGTCCTTCTCAAAGTGAATCGTGTCTCTGGCACACGGGATTCGCTCTTTATCCCAGTTGGATGCTGTTTCAAAATTGGTGTTGGGAATCCACTTCTTGTAGGCAGCCATGGTGGCAGCTAGGAGGAGCAGGGAAGCAAATGTGAGCCAGTACTGACCGAGTAACGCCCCAGCACGGACCAGATGCTCAGAGGACATCACAGCCAGTGATGGGGTTTGTAGCCACACTTGTGATATTCAGACCTGTGTGTTGCAGCATCGCACCACCTCAAACCTGGGGCATCAAGACTGTGATTTTGCTTTCATCTCCCACTCCTCCCATGACTCTGCAGTGGCAACATGAGACAACAGGTAGGTGACCTACCAGGCTTTGAGGGATGTGAAGGAAGGCCCTCACCATCATGTTGGTCACCCCAAGGATCACTGAATCTGAATCCTAGCCCTGCACAAGGCCACCTCAAATCCAAATCCTATGTCTGAGAGCATCATCCAAATGCTCCTTGAACTCCAGCAGTTCAGGGCTGTATCCACTGCCCTGGGGAACCTGTTCCATGCCCATCACCCTCTGGTGCAGAACCCTTTCCTGACACCAGCTGACCCTCACCTGACATGCTTGCCATGTGTAGCACAAACTGTTGGCTGGCATCACATCTGGGGCTCAGTGGTGCAGCACCACTGGTGCCCAGAAGCCTGAGGGTGGAAACACAAGTATCCAGCAGCACCACCCCCACAGATTCCCAGGATCATGATGATGGTGCAGTGTGGTACCCACTCATGGTGCCCTGCCCAGACATCAGCCCTCGGGGAAGTAGCTTTCCACTCCAGCCCCTCAAGCAGCCTAAAGCCATTTAATTCAGACGAATGAATGGTAAGACAGAAAAGTGAGGGGAGGGGAAGGGGGAGAGGGAGGGAGGAAGAAAAGCAAAAGCTTTTCCTCTTAATATGCTTAATCTTTTCAGGAAGAAAGAAAGAAAGGAGGGAGAAAAGGAGGGAAGAGGGGAAGGAGGGAGGGAGGAACTACAGCATACATGCAAAGCTGGTGGAAGAGCAGGAAGGAATGTCACCTGGGTGCTGGATATCAAGTGGGGGAGGAGACCCCAGGCCAGGAGGAGGGGGATCTGGATGGCCACGGCTGATGGAGAAGGGGCACTGCAGATTGCCTGAGCTCTGCGAGTCCCAAAGATGGGAGGAGATCTGTTGGTTGTGCTAAGCAGCACTGCAAAGGCTTTATCAGAGTGCAATGATCGCTTCAGAGCATAATTGCAGATTTGCAGTGGCTAAGTCTGCCAGGGGCTCTGCTGAGACCGTTCATTGTGCAGAACCACAGTTGAATGAAGAGGAAACAATATGTTTTTAACCTGAATGAAAGGCAGAACGCAGGAGCAGGTGCTGGAGCCCAGCCACGAGCAGCTGGGACAGGGGGGAGCAGGGGGACAGCAGAGATGGCTTCCAGCTGCCTCAGGAAGAGGGGGGTGGGGGTTCCTGAGAAACAGCAAGAGCAAGTTGTCATTAACAGAAAGAAGACTAGGATCAATGTGAGGTCCTTGCTGGCTTAGAGTTGAACAGAGCTTCCGAATGGAAAAGACCCCAAAAAGTCAATATGGGCTGCTCCATCCATGCTATGGACTTGTGTCCTTTTGACCTTACAAAAGCTCTGGCAGAAAGGCCACTGCACACCTCATGCTCCCACAGCTGCAAGATGTGCTGCGAGTGAGCCCTGCTCCACGTGCTGCCCATCTTAGAGGTGGGGTCCCGGGGCTGCAGAGGTTAACCCACTCCTGCAGTACCCTCTTTTCCTCATGCAGCTGCACTGACACATTCCTGCACCCTCCACAGCCCAGGAAATAACAGCGTGCTATTTAATCAGCCTGGTCTCCAGGGAAGCGCAGTCCTTGAACATCAAAGCAACATGCATATTTAACAGAAAAGAGATCCTGCAGTGCAGAGCCGCAGGCTTCAGGCAGGACCAGGAAAACCTGAGCTGCAGAGGTGCAGCAGTGCCATACATACAGTGCAGCCTGGGCTCCTGAGCTCGCCTCCATCCTTCATCCTTTGCTTTGCCCGGTTTGAAATGCATTTTGCTATTTCAACACAAACACACTGAGCCTGCAGCTCTGCTATGAAAAACGATTGCTAAAGCACGCTGGAAATGGGAAAGTCATCTCTCAATCACCCCTCTCTCCACGCAGTGCAGCCCTGGGCAATACTCACCAAGGAGCTGCAGGACACCAAGGAGGAAAGTCAGGCTGCTCCCCATATCGCTGCAGCACTTGCCTGCACAGCCCCTGCCTGGCCGGACCTTGGACCATCCTGGGCACGTGATGGGCTCAGCACATGTGCAGGTGGTGCAGGAACACAGTGCAGGAAGCAGCTTTCCCCAGCACCCACCTCAGCCCTGCTCAGTCCTAGCAGCCACTGTGCTCTCAGCTCCTCTCCCAAGCTCCCCATGTCCTTGGCAGCCTGTGGGAGCCTGGAAGAGCCTCTGAGGAGTGAGATGTGGAGGGGAGAGCAGCAGCAATGGGTGCTAACAGGGGGTGAAAGCAAACAGCCATGTGCATCCAGCAGTACCCTCCCCTGACAACCCCATAATTACTAATAACGGCCTCCAGGTATTTTTCAGTGAGCAACTTCAAGCAACAGTGTGCTACTGAACTTTGGCCAACAGCTGATCTGCTCATTACCAGTCACATGCCACACAGCCCCACACTGCTTTCCTTGAAGCTGCCAGTGATGAGGGGACAAAGGACACCTTCCCCTCCCCAGTGTCCCCACTGACCCCAGGCCTGCAGATGAGTGCTTTCCCCTCCATTTCTGTTTTCAGACAGCCTTTGCAGATAGGGAGGGTTTTGATGAAGCCACCCACTGCTTCTTGGACATAGAATCATGGAATCATTTGAATTCGGAGGGACCCTTACAGGTCATCCAGTCCAACCCCCTGCAATGAGAAGAGTCACCTACAGCTCAGTCAGGTACTCAGAGCCCTGTCAAGCCTGACCTTGGGTTCTCCAGAACTGGGGCAGCCATCACCTCTCACTTCTTCTGAAATCTTAATGCTGTGAGCACAGGTCTAAGAGCAGAGATTGATGCACTGTGCCCCATGGAGGTCAGCAATGCCCATCCCCACACCCTCATCCCCAGCAGAGCATCACTCACGGGCTTGCCAAACAAAGAAGCTCACGAGCAGCATTCCCAGCCTGGGCATCAGCCCAAATGCAGTCAGCACTTTCTGCTCAGAGAGCTGGATGCCAAGAGACGTCCTCGAGGTGAAAGGCTCCTGTGCTCATTACTGCTCACAAATCACTCCCCAGAGATCATCAGGTGAAAGCTGGCTGCACTGAAATCTCTAGTTTAAAAGGCAAAAGATGTATGCACTCAAGATGCTTGGCAGTAACAGCTTGAAGAAAGGCCTGCAGTGCGCAGAAGGCAGGGCACACACTTGTCCGTGGCCTCAGCATCCTGCAGTACATGTGGGGCAGGTGGGAGGCCCCAGAAAAACCTGATTTCGGGGCAGCTGCTCACTGCTGCACGATGGCTAGGAGCCGAGGGACAAAACAGCCTGGCATTTGCTCTGCATTTCTCTCTGGGACTGGACTCCCCACCTCTCTGCTCCAGCCTGTGCTGCTGCTGAGCCAGAGGAATGGGCAGCGCAATGGGGGGGCTGAGTGAGAGTGAGCTTTGGGTCAGGCAGAGGCACAGAGATGAAAGGAAGCAGAAATTGATCTTAAGAAATGAGAGCTATTGACCCAGCCTGGAGATTATCATATTTACTTCTTGCTGCTAGCCAGCAAGCTCTCTATACAGGCTCTGACTACCTGGAGAAGGACTTTTTAGAACGGTATGTGGCAGGACAAGGGCTAACGGCTTTAAACTAGAAGACAGTGGATTTAGATTAGATATTATGAAGAAATTATTTACTATGAAAGTGGTGAGGGCCTGGCACAGGCTGCTCAGAGAAGGTGTGGATAGATATCCCATCCCTGGAGGTGCCCAAGGCCAGGTTAGATGGCCTTGGGCAGCCTGAGCTGGTGGGTGGTGCCAGAGGCACCATTCCCTTCAGCCATTCAACACTATGCCTCTGAATTTCCCTGCTGTACAAACACATCCCTTCTCACTGCAAGTCGCAATCTGTAGCAGAAATAAGCAACACAAGGTGCTTCTCCTGCCATGACAGTCCTCAGCCCTGACACTTCCTGGCCAGGAAGGAGCTCAGTGCTGTGCTTGATGGCTGTGAATAACAAATCCCAAGGTAGGTGATGTGCCCCCGACTCACCACAGTCCTCTAAATGTCACTGTCACACAGAGCAGAGCTCAGCGCTGTTCCTCCACTCCCTGTGAGGAGCTGCAGGCCACCATGAGGTGTTCCCTCACCCCCTGTGCTCTGGGCTGAGAAAACCAAAGGACTTCAGCCACTCTTCACACACCTTGCTCACCATCCAGATCCTTCCCCATCTTCAAAACCCTCATTTTGGATACTCTCATAGCTTTAAGTCATTTAAGTCATTATCTTGCAGCACCCAAACCTGCACCCAGTGCTCAGGAGGAGGCTGGAGCCTTTCCAAGGAGGAAGTGGAGCCTTGTGCTGCAGCAGGAAGGCTGGAGGAGCACTGGCTCTTTCAAACGTCACTGGGGAAGAGCAGCACTGAGCGTGGGTGATGGTGAAGCAGCCATTTTGGCTCAAGGAGGAAGGACAAGTGGGATGCCAAGAGCCACTTGAAGCTGCACTTGCTTATCTTGGAGTCACAAGAAGGAGATCAAGGACTCCCTGCATCTGGGCAAGGGATGGTTATAGAACTATAGAATTATTTGTGGATTTGGGATCTGAACACCCCAGCCTGTTTTTCCACTCCTGAGCCAAAGCCCTGCTGGACACATTAACTAGCCCCTGAGCTCAGATAAGATTTCTTTATAGACCCTGAGGACTGACAACACTTACCAGCCTCCACCTCCTGCCCTAAGACACCTCTAAGGTGGCAATAACTGGGGACCAGCTCAAGCATCACCTGTGTTCCCACCGAGTGATGTCACACTGCAAGGTATCTCATCAACCTCCCTCAGACAGATGCCATGCTTTCATCAGCCAGGGCTGATCTAAATAATCTCTGCAGGAGCTGCTATGTTGGCACAAAGCAGCAGCTGAGTGCCACAGCAATGTCTGCAAACAACTCTTGCCTCTAATCAGCACAGCCATGCTATCAAAACACAAGTTTTTACCAGCTGTAACTGGTTTGGCCACAAGTCATGGCCAAACACCTCTTAATCTAATTCACAGTCCCCATGGCAAAAGCCATTCCTGTGAAGTTTCATCCACATTTGCCAGCCTGGCCCATGGGATCTCAGCTTTCCCACTGTCTTCCAGTTTGGGCCACGGGCCATTTGCCATTTTCAGGAACCCATGGGACACCCAAGAGCAGTAACCACGCTGTATCATCAGCTACTGATAGATCTGGCTCTGGTGGCCACCTCAAAGAGCTGTGTGAACATGCCTTCCATTGGTGCCATGTGAGCTTACAGTTTGCCTGACCTATAGTATTTCTACACCAGGGTCTCTCCTGGGGTGTTTTCCATGCCCTGCTTCTGGAAAATTAATAGCCACCAACACAAGTACTTTGTTATTTGCTTAGCTGAGCCTCCACAAGTCTCTGGTTCTGGTAGTTCTACCAACTTCCCAAAGGAGCAGACGTTCACAGAGTAAGGTGAGAGAGGAGAGCCGGGGCAGTTCCTGCTTAGGTGTGGTGCAGCACAAGATAAAACCAGGCACCGTGTGACAGTGACAGCCCTCAGGGTTTGAGCCAGCAGGGCAGGAAACAGTGACACACCTGACTCATGGAATGAGTGCACTGGGGAAGGAAGGGGAAATCACCTTTTTCACCACTTCTTTTGCTCACCAGCTATTTCCTCCTTCCTCAAACAGTTCCAGGACTTCATCACGCTGAAGCAGGCTGTCCTGGTGAGCAGAGGAGTTTTCAAAACCACCTGTAAGGGCAGGAAGTCAGAAGTTTCAATATCCTCACCAGTCAGTAAGCAAACCCAAGGCTTGAAATGCCAGAAAACATTAAAAAGAAATTAAAAACTCCCCCTGCAATTCTTGCAGGGGATGACTCCAGCACCCGCTTGGCTCTGGGCAATGTGCATGTCTGCACAGCACCCTCTGTAGACCAGACCAAGAGCTCTTTGCCCTGCTGTCACCTGCTGTTCAGCTCTCCAGAGCTGGCACGCTGCTGCTGTCACTGAGGTAATGCATTGCCTTCCTGAGGAAAGCATGCCATAAAGCTGGAAGGTGCCTTCTGTTACCTGTCAGCAGGAAAATGCATCTATAAAACCTCCTTCTTGCCAGGCACAGAGTAATGGATCACTTCAATTATGATCCATGGCTGGGGGAGGAGCAGGGATGCTAGGAGAGAATCAGTGTTTGCCTTCGAGTTTAAAGCAGTTTTCTGCTTCTCCACCTCTCCCGTAAGGGCACCAGCACCAAGTGTGAGCAGCACCAAAGAAAGAACTGGGACGAGATTTAGGGATAGTGAAGACTGCTCTTCCTTAAGAGGGCTCTGCTTGAAGGTAACCCACATTAGATCAGAGTAATGCTCGGTAGAAAAGCCGCTCTGTGCACTGCTCCTGTGAAGCTGCCTTCACAGCGCCCAGCGTGGAATGTGCTGGAAATGGTAGAGCTTTGGCCCCTCCCAAACCCCACGGAACTCATACAGACTGCACTGCAATACATGATTTCTCACACACAGCCCTTAAATACATTTCCGAGCGGAGGAAAGAAAGATGCACAGACGACACTGGAGAATAACAAGAAAGATAAAATCTCCACTTTAGACATTGAAACCGCAGTGCCTCTCCTTTAGTTGCCTCTTTGGAAAAAGCAGCAAAACAAGTGCATGAAAAACCATTTCAATTATTTCTATTCTATTTACCTGAGCACTCTTGACAGTGACATCGGGATGAACACCATTGCCTTGTTCTAACCAAGTTACCGCATGCAAAGTAGGGCTCTGATAACATTTATAGCAGATTTCCTCAGAAGAGGAAGAAATGTGTCATGACAAAGGCCTGTCAGGTGTAAAGCACTGAACAGCCGTGCTATCTGTGGGTACACAGAAGTGATGCATCCTTACCCTGTTTGCAAGGCAACAGCAATCATTCAAATTCAACACACTGGGGTTTTTTTTTAAAAAAATGATTTCCTACTTAGATTTATTTTTCCTTTAGTAACACAGTTTAGCATTTCAGAGTTTTGCATTCTATACTCTTACA